CAATCAGAAATATTCTTTCATAGCATCATGATATAAATTCTGATAAATTCTTAGTTCTTGGTTGTTCTTCATTTCAGCCAGACAGTGTTCAGCAAGAGGTGGTAATGTTCGGCTGAATATAAATGAAGCAAGAATTAAATTGGCGGGAAAAGCAGCAATCGTTGTTGAGGGAAATATAACTTTAACATCATGATTCTAATATTTCAAGTTGTAATCCAATAAGAAATATTCTTTCATAGTATCATGACATACAAAATTGTGAGTTGTAATCCAATCAGAAATATTCTTTCATAGCATCATGATATACAAAATTGCAAGTTGTAATCCAATCAAAAATTTCTTTTATAGCGGTATGTTTCTTAGGTATATTTTATTAAATATAAATTCATGTACAATTTTAGAATAGTTTCATCTGTTTTTTTTGTGTATATGATTTGTGTAAATCAACAACAATCATGATTGTTTTTAAGTGGATAATTGTTTTGAGCTACTAAATCTAAATTGAGAGGATAGTGTTCATAATATTTTCACTATACTTTCTGAATATATTTTTGCCCACTGCAATGTATGCGTTCGGTGCAATGGTTGTGACCTGGACCCTCAACCGTGAGGTCGTGGGGGGGGGGGAGGTTTGAAACTTTCGCTGTGCATGTCGCTTATATCCTTGGACAAGGCACTTTATTTACATTTGCCTCTCTCCACCCGTAGCAGTTGCATATCTAGGAGTTTAAAAATGGGGGACTTGAGGTTGGGGGAGGGAGAGGGCATTCAATGATTAGGTGAGGGGTTCTATCTCGCAAAATAAGGTGATTTTTAACCGTAGAGCATGATTTGGTTGGGGGGGTTGGGTGGTAACTGGGTACCCCTCACCATAACATTCTTCCTGGTAAGTACCCTATGGCGATTATATGTTAAATTTATATACAGTAGTGCAAAATTTTAATTGGTTAAGTATCTTTTAATGGACCTTTCCACTAACCCCCGTCCTTCAGATATCGTTGTTAGGTCCCACAAAACGAGAGTAGGGACCTTTCGATTGCACGACGACGGTAGGACGTAGAACGTAATGACGTCACTAAAAGTCATTTGCGCATGCGAGTACGTTAAGTTCACCTCGTCGAGTACGTTCTGGAACGCAATCTGGCCAAATCTACGTATGCAGAGAAAGTAGGACGCCAGGTAGGACGGTCACACATGAGTGATTCCGTTCTGGCGTCGCGTTGTCGCACAAATCGAAAGCTCCATAGCAACATGTGCGTTTGTGGGACACGGTTGTTAGACGTGCATATGTTATTCCTGGCCCTGTTCTGGTTGGCCAGGTATTAAGTTTGATTGACACCCCGGAAAGGTACATTGTAGATTGGATTCATATCAATTTGAGCCAATTTTGCCAAACACAATTTCCTTCCAAGAATCCTCTCTGCTATCTAGAATCAAACCACCTACGAATGCAATCTCAACATACAGTATTGAAAATAATAATAATAATAATAATGTTATATTTATATAGCGCATATTGCACATTACCCCTATGCGCTTTACAAAGAAACAATATAGGCAAACTGAGAAAATGCAAATAACAATAAAATAATAACAATAAAATCAAATAATAATAATCATAAATAACAATGAGACTAAACTAATCCTATTCCTTAAACAAATTAATGGTTGGCCGTTGACTCCGAGGAGCTCATTCGTCCTTTGTTCAGCTATTGGTTTTTCATGCCGCTGGGTGACCTTAAACACCCTCCCCTCAGCAGCCACTAAGACATATCTGAGAGGGTTGTCAGTTTAGTCGCCGACGCTTCGACCGGATTGTAACCGTCCATTTATTTATTTATTCAACTATATTTTATGTGGGTAGCTCTTTAGCATATCAAAGAATAGTTGATGAAACTAATGCACTCACAATAATCTATTCCAGTGGCTGTGAGAAATTGGCCTAATTTTTCATGACATATTATGTCAAAAAATCGATCACGTTAATTCCAGTTTCGGTTTCGGTTTATTCACCACGTTAAAGCAAATAATATGTCTACATTTATTGAAACTTTGAACATGCAGTGGTGTTTTTACCAAATCTAATCAACCCTTTGGCCGCCTTAAATTATCAATGGTTTTTCTCAAGTAGGAAAACGAAAAAGTATTTGTTAACATGATTAAACAAATAGATGAGATTATCAACAACATTATTAGATCGCTTTATCTTCAAGTTGACATGCGATTGGAAACACTGGCTATGTTGAATCAGAGACAACTATGTATATATATGTATATATATATATATATATATATATATACATATATATTATATATATAATGAGTACGAATGCACAAATTAGAGTCGTATACGTTGACATAATAGACATAAGATAATTTTTTATTTCGAATATTTCGAGCACGCCTGTGCTCTTCCTCAGCGATAATACGTATGATTAAAAAAGCTTTACAAACTAGCAGTAGGGGATAAACAATATAGCAGTGACTAAGATAAATCGTAAATGATATGTATAATTAGACCGGATTATAAAGGGCGGTAACAACAAAGAAAATAAAGATAAACGAAAGGGCTTTCATCCATCTTGATACATTTTATTCATCCTTTATACACTATTTAACTTGTTATATTTCATTTTCATTGGCTCAGGCTAGTGATACCATGGGCCTACATTCAGCTGATTAGCCCTTTCGTTTATCTTTATTTTCTTTGTTGTTACCGCCCTTTATAATCCGGTCTAATTATACATATCATACCTCCATGTACATATCATTTACAATTTATCTTAGTCACTGCTATATTGTTTATCCCCTATTGCTAGTTTGTAAAGTTTTTTTAATCGTACGTATTATCGCTGAGGAAGAGCACAGGCG